GTGTGTGTGTGTGTGTGTGTGTGTGTGTGTGTGTGTGTGTGTGTGTGATATCAATTAAAAATATTGATTGGGAAGGCAGTGTCTTTGAAGACACAGGTTCGCCAATTACAATGTAACATTACAGACATAAAATAAATTATAATTTCTACGTGTCTAATTACATTATTATCCGACAGAGGGAACATTAACAGGAGACCGTCTTAAGCGTATGCATTATTATTATTAAGATGCCTTGGTTATTCAGGGTCTAGGTATAGTATACGATTTATAAAATTCTTACGAAAGATTTAAAGATTGCGCCCCCTGTTTCTCTGTGAAAAAAAAAATGCAGACAAAAGACTATATTTGTAACTTAAAATGTAAAAAAACGAAGTAAAATGTATACGTATATTAAAAACTAAGGGATGACATAAAAGCTTGTTGCAGTAGAAAATGCAGAACTGATGTCATCAAAATAAATGGTAAGTATGTAGAGGTTATTGACGCGCGGTCGGTACACTAGGTCCATTGTCTTCAAATGCGGTAAATATATAATTACACATATTGCAACAAGATAACATGTAAGTTTACGACATAGAAAGTATATGAATAAAGCAAAAATGTACAAGAATTGAAAATGAACTACGTGGTTTATAATTAGGAAAAAGACAAATAAAATGGACGGTTATTAAGAGAACAAATGAACTTCCAAATTTGGGTCAGCAACAGAAAATCTAAATTAAAGCGGCGGTTATAATGAACTACAATTTTCAAATAACAATTAGAACACAATCAGAATTTGTTTATTTTGTTGAGAAAAACTGAAATTGTAATTATTTATTATTTATAATTAATATAAGTATGAAATTTGCTATTGAGAGGAATCGCTTACATTGACGGAAATTAAAAGCTAAATCTCCGAATAGATCACTCATTTTGCAGAGGATCTAGATCGAGTAGCGTCATATTTTTCCTCTTCATCATCATCAGCAACCAGTATATGCATTAACTGCTTCTGTGGCTGAACGGTTACCATGCTGGACTACCACGCAGAGGCTTCAGGTTCGTTTCCTGGACCGGGAGAAATGTTTATGTGGCCTATATTCATTTATTTCGCGAGTTTGGGTTGTCTATGTGTGTGTCCATGATACCCGCGATACAGGGTTTCCCTTGTGCGGGTCTATGAGTTTGTGCGTTATTACTATCATTGTTATTGTTAGGCGCGGGTGCCCTTAAAGGAGGTGGTTTAGTCCATCCTCAATGCTAGCCCTGTGCAGGTTGGGACTCTATATTTTTCCAAGGGTTTCCATCGTTAATATTCAACCTTAACGAGAAGTATTCCTACTAAATATCCATAAATATAATATAATAGCTGTGGTGATACATTAAGTATAGGATTGAGTTAAACATGTCTAACGAAGCTGTATTCTGATTCTCCTAACTCCACTATCATATAATTTAGTTTGTTTACTATTAAAATATTGAAGATGTACTTAACACAAATATTTGGTCACTATAACAGATATTTGGTCAGATTAAAAGGTTTATCTCATATTATGAGAAAACCTATTTAAATACAGTTCTTGTTTACGTTTTTCTTATATTAGTAACCGGATTACCCCATTTTAACAAATTTAGCTATTCGCTGAGATGTAGCGCGAATGCCAGAAATAGCCAGTCGTCGGATTGGGTTTCAAATATAAAAATCGATCATCCTAACCGCTTCTAGACCTCAAAGTACAGTAGAATATCAAATGTAATAATAAACATCACCAGAAGATAAAAAAATGTTCTCTTCTTCACTTGAAATTGAACGTACTCATTCCAAGACTACAACAAAATATTCCGTTTTTAAACATTTTAAAACCACCCCATGGTCACTTGTGCTTTAGGTATATATTACTTGATATATTATAATCATTTATTCTAAGAATAAAGTCGTCGTAAATTTACGCAAATATTCATACGTCGTTGAGAAAAATGGACCATTCGATTCGCTGAGCATATAATTATGAAGTCCACTGTACATTCTCTATATGTCTGTTGCAGCTAGTATAGGCAAGGGTTGTTGCAAGACTTTTAGGTTAGATACAGGCATTGGGATATAGAACGGGTATTCCTCAAAATTTACGGAAACTATTTATATATATCATTACGCGATAAACATCACCAATTCTTAACATCCTCATTAAAAATGACCAATAAAAAAGACACAGTAAATTATATGTAAATTTAGTACAATATTAAGATAACAGAAACAACATTATTAAAATAAAATGTTAAGTTACTTACCTGTTGCAGAATAATTCCAAACACAATAACTTTTCAATATTAACATCAGCAATCAGGCTACAAAATCCTTATTTCTATAGTTTCATTGTCTTTATTAAAACGAACGATAAAATCCCGTACAATGTACAATTCGTAAAATTAAGCTACGTAGGGAACCACACATAGAAGCGTAGCGCCGTAGACGCGTAGATACCGCTACGAAGACTACGAAGCGACTGGCTCCGTTTGCAATGCGCCGCTACGACTGCAAAGTATAACGCTCGGAATACTTCGGCTTGCGACGGAAACACCCGATCACCTTTGTATGAAGTTATTTATAAAATAGTTTTAGTTATGCACATCGCATGTAATTAAGATTTCATTTATATTGCATGCTACATATCTACATTACAGTACATTATACTTCATGCTACGTCCTCGAGATTAGCATATTAGACACTTGTAGTAACGCGTAGCATGCACCATTCCACACTACGCTCAGAATATTTTTATTTTATTTTAAAGGAGGGCACACTGACCACGTGCTCCATGCGCATAGGATTTGCTTCATTTACTTCATAGTGCGTTGCCGTTCCACTGCGTGTTCGCGATTGAAAAAGTGTTTTAGAGAGATTGTGGTTAAATAAATTATTTTGGTGATAATTTGTTGTGAATAATATGCCTAAACGTAAAAGTGATTATGAACGTAATCGTATACAACGCAAAATCAAAAAATTGGAATTAAAATTGCGCCATGACCGTTACCATTCGGATGAATCCGAGTCATCGTCAACGTCGAGAGATTCTGGTCATTTATCGTCGGATAAACAAGGTACGAAACGCCAATAAATATAGAAATGCAATTGCAACTGATTTTCTCTTAATTTGAAGTCGAGTCGTGTCATATAAGTTCCACGACAAGGTAATGATACAACTACGTGTTTTTGTTACCTTATAGTAACTCTTAGGTCTTTAATCATTCTTTTTTTAACGAATCTAGATGAAAAGTTTGCGGATAGTACTTGCAATGCAATGGGACTATCTCTTACTGACTAGATATGGTTTAGTGAATAGCTTCTGGGGCTATTACGTGACTGATAAATGTTTACACTGTGTACAGAGTTCATTGGTTTTTTATTTGTTTACAACAAAATGATAATACAGTCAATACCCAGCACTCCGAGCAGTACAATGGGACTATTTCATAGTGCTAATAATGTATTGTTGCGGACAGTACGTGTTACTATAACTTGGGACTGTCTCTTACATACTCCTAATTAACTTGTTTGACGGCTGTACATGAGACTATGTGTCTCCTTTCCAGATGACGGTGTTATGGATATTTTGGCATGTAATGAAGATGAAGAGGCTAACATCGAAGAAAACCCGCCTTCTCCCGTGAGACCAGCAAACGACGACCGGGCTGAGCCAAGTTCCAGTGCGTGCATTTCACATGCATGCAATTCCGTCGGTGGTGATAGCCGTGCAAAAATCGGTTGACCCTCTACCGCCTACAGCTCCAGAGACAGCTGCAACATTGCAGCCGCCTCCACCTGCAGATGCAGTAACAGCTGAAACAGAAGACTTGGCTTTGGATAAAGAGCTATTAGACATACTTGGCACAGATCCTACCACAGATAAGAAATATGGTAAAGATATTCAGAAAGACTTATCGGTCAGTTTCCAACATTGGGCCACAACTAACGAAAGAACTGCGCCAGGAATTTAAAGAAAAGTATTTGACTCCTGAGAACTGCAAATTAATTGATCCACCGGAATTAAATGCTGATATAAAAGCGGCAGTTCAGAAATTATAATTAAACGTGATAAAGCCATTGAAGGCAAACAGAAACAAATTATCTTGTCTATTGCCTGTTTAGGAGAAGCTATTTCACTATTGTTGTCCACAAAGGAGAACAATACAACGTTACTCAAACTTTTGATGGATGCCCGAATCATCTGTGACTATCAACATGCTGACTCTACTACAAGGAGAAAATACCTTTTAAACGCTGTAAAGAAGGAAGTTAGAGATCAGCTACAAAAGACAAAAGTAGACAAGCTCCTATTCGGCGAAAATCTAGCAGAAACCTTAAAATCTGTAAAAGCCATTAATAAGTCAGGAATAGATCTGAAACAGACTACATCTAAAGTTCCAAATATTAACTGACACAGTATACTTCTAATTCTTCGAAGAATTTAAACTGGAAGCCGGCGGGTCCGGTTCAGAAAGCGACGGGCCCGCCGAGGACCAATCAACCTGTGACGTCCTTGACAAACAGTCGGCCCAGCATCTCCTTCGGACAGTCACTGCATCCACAGCGGCGACCGGGCCTCACTCGGCGCTAAATACGGTAAATACAGCAGGTAGATTACCGCACTTTTACAAACAATGGTCTATAATTACTAATGACCCAATAGTTCTTTCGTATATACAGGGCTATCAGATCCCCTTTTTATAGCCACCGACGCAGCCGTTGCCACCCAAAATGCGTAAATATTCTGACGCAGAAAGGACACATTTTATAGAGGCAATTAATAATTTGCTAACAATCGGGGCTATTTCGGTGTGTCAAGCTCGAGATGATCAATATTTGTCAAATATATTTTTGATACCCAAGGCAAACGGTAAGATGCTCTTCATTTTAAACTTAAGAAGCTTAAACAAGTTTATAAATACAAACCATTACGAACTGAAAGACTTGAGAACAGTACTAAACCTCATTTCAAGGGAATGTTATTTATGTGCAGTCGACTTATAAGACGCATACTTTTTAATTAAGGTGCATGAAAATGATCGTAGATACCTTAGGTTCCAGTTTGAAAACATTATTTATGAATTTAATACGTTACCATTTGGTTTGAATACGGCTCCTATCATGTTTACAAAGGTGATGAAGCCGGTCGTAAAATTGCTAAGGTCACGTGGGTATTTATCTACTATTTACTTAGATGACATGTGTTTAATTGGTAACAATTATCAATCATGTCTTAAGAATTTGGAAGAAACCATAAAACTCTTTACGTGTTTAGGTTTTATTATAAATGAAGATAAAAGTAATTTTTATCCATCGCAAACTTGCAAGTTTTTAGGATATGTTTTGGATACAAAAATATTTCATGTTTCTTTGCCAAATGAAAAAATTGCTTTGTTGAAAAATTGAAAAACTGATTTTGCAAAATTTTCAATTGCAAAACGTTGTAAAATCAGAGCGTTTGCGAGTTTTGTTGGTCTTTTGGTATCTTTCTGCCCAGCTGTGGAATATGACTGGCTCTATACAAAAATGTTTAAAAGATGCAAATACCTTAACTTAAAAAACACAAATAATTATGAAAATTACATGAATATTCCGAATACATTAGCCTCTGATCTTGAATGGTAGAGACATGCCATTGACCATTCTAGTTGTAAAATTAAGGAGCATAATTACGACCTGGAAATTTACTCTGATGCCTCAACAACAGGATAGGGAATAGCGTGTGGAGCGAAGAAGGCTAGTGGCCTGTGGAGTGATGACGAACGAAACATACGTATAAATTATTTAGAAATTTTGGCCTCATTCATAGGACTAAAAATATTCTCTAAAGATTTGCTTAACTCCCAGGTCCTCCTTCGCATCAACAATACCACCGCAATTTCCTATGTAAACCGCATGGGTGGTATTCAGTTCCCATACTTGACTGACCTTACGAAACAACTCTGGCAATAGTGCGAATAAAGAAATTTATATGTTCTCGCTTCCTATATTCGTTCATCAGATAACTTTGAAGTTTATCAAGAGTCACGACGTACGTATCCAGATATTGAGTGGCAGCTCACCGACTATGCTTATGAAGCAATTTTAAACAAATTCCGTACTCCGAATATAGATTTGTTCGCCAGTCATTTCAATAATAAATGTCAAACATATGTTTCTTGGCATAGGGACCCTGATGCGTACGCAGTGAACGTATTTACGTTTTCATGGTCTAACTTTTATTTCTACTCGTTTCCACCATTTACTATGATTTTAAAATCATTAAGAAAAATAACATCTGATAATGGCACAGGTATTATGGTTGTCCCACGGTGGCCTACGCAGCCATGTTACCCACTATTTAAAAGTATTTTAATTTCAGAGCTGTTAGTATTTAAGGCTGATGAAAACTTAATTTTATCAACTAATTCCAGTCGCCGCCACTTGGGCAGAACGGTTACCCTGGTGGCAGGAGTATTATCGCCGGGAGGCGATGCTGAGAAGAGGTATTCCTCCTGGGTATTCTTCTAAACTCTCTCTCGGACAATTCTTATAAGCAGTATGAAGGGTGTTATAAAAAGTGGTTCATTTATTATAACGAGATTAAATTGAACATGTTTGAAGTATCAGTTCCCTACATTGTGAACTTTTTAATGAATGTTTTTCATGAAGATGCTCAATATGGTACTGTAGACTAGGCTGTACTGTTTGAGTAGAATTGCTGGCTGAACATAG